CTCTGATCAAGAACAACGCATGGAAGATCACAGAGTGTCCGAAGGATCAACGAGTAGTTGGGAGCAGATTTGTTCTGTGTAACAAATATAACTCCGATGGATCTATCGAGAAACGAAAGGCACGTGTTGTAGCACGCGGTTTTTCTCAAAGACCAGGGATCGATTATCACGAGACGTTCGCTCCAGTAGCAAGAATGAGCTCGATACGAGCTGTGTTGGCCATAGCAGCACAGAGAGACATGAAGATCGAACAGCTCGACGTAGCAACGGCATATTTAAATGGCGAAATTGAGGAGACAATCTACATGGAAGCACCGGAATATCTAGAAGATATTTTGGAACATATTATTCGTTCCAGAAGCGTGGACAGTTCCATCAAGGAAACGGCGAAGAAGATGTTGGAAGACATTCAGAAGCCGAACGCAGTTTGTCTATTAATTAAGGCGTTGTACGGGCTTTGACAGTCAGGTAGGACCTGGCACGATACACTGGAGAAAAAGCACGAAGCCTGCATGAGGTCCATCGGGCTCAAGACCATCAGATGAGCGGAATCCGACCAGTGCGATTCGAGGGGAAGTGTTGGCGAAAATCCTGTATACGACTCGCCATGCGGATTCGGCATTATGGAGAGCGCTCTCTGCTCCTAATAGGGAGCGCGGTGTCGCATCCACTACTGATGGTTTTGCTTCGTGGTCTTTTACTCTGTCCATCACATAGTCGCTCGCGACCTTGTATATCACACGTTCTTCGGGAAATATATTGAGTACTAGCACTAAAACTGTTGTATATTGTGCGTCATCCCTATCAAAACACATCAACGAAAATTTTTTGTGGTATATTGAAAGTTTGAAAGTTTCTAACAAAATTTTTTTTATTTTTTGATCGTCTCCCTGACAGTTAAAAAAATTATTGAAAAATAATTTGTTTAATAAATAGTACGAAATAATTTTTTTTTATGTTGTAAATAATTTCATCATAAAATATAGTCCCTTTGTGACAACTTTTATTTAAAAAATTTTTGTATTGCACTTAAAGGAAAAAAGTTATGCAATTATTAATTAAAAAGTCAGTAAATTTTCCATTATTCATAAATCGAAAAAATTTGCAATTAAAAAAAATATATTTGACACCATATTTTATTTCGTCAGAAACTACCGATATGCAAAATTTGATTTATTTCTGAGAGGTGACTGATCCGGTTCACGCGGAATGGCCCATACCTGACAGTGGCCACATTCGAAGAGCTATCTGGTAACATAGTAAAAAAACGTATTATTTATATTAATTTTTATACTTATTTATAATATTTATTAATAATAATATTGAAAAAATTGCCTAGTCGAAAGAATCAGAGCTGTAATAAATGTTTTAAACTTTCTGATTCCTGCGTGGAGCTGACTTTTCTTATTTATATCCGGTAGCATCAAACTGATTTTAAGTCCGTTGCAAAATCAATATGGTGTCGAGTTTCTTTTGTCCCCTCAATTCTTTAATTCTTTCGATTGCATTAAGGCCTTTAGTTTTTCCTCAGCAGCGTTTGAAATAGAAAATACTAAATAATTTCACACTTCTGCACAACGCATAATGTGTAAGCATAAGAAAATTGATTGATCTATTACACATGCATGTGCGTAAGGAAATAGACCAATCAGTTTTCTTATGCTTACGTATTATGAGCTATGCAAAAGTCTATGTTCCCCGCTTAAATGTTTTTCAAGGGACATTTAGTAAAATTTAAAAAAATCTGAAACTTTGCATAGTAATTTGCATAGTAAAAGTAAGTAATTGCATAGTAAAAAAAATAGAGTAATAGGTTCTAATAATAAAATACTTTTTTTTTGGGCTAAAAAATGGTTTTAAGGGTGAAAATATCCCCTTGGAGAAAAAAAAACATTTCTCGCTGTTTAATGACGGCTTATTTTTTCTCTTCTTCGAAAGTTCTCTGTATAACATTACATAATATAATTTTATATGTTGTTTTCTATAAATTGTTTATTCTTACAATTAAATTAATTCTAAAATAAAATAAAATAATTAAAATATTACTTATTTTATGTAATTGTGTTACAATAATAATATATTGTTCAAAGAAATATTCAAAACAAAAAAATTGTTTGCGTGTAATATTGATATCAAAGAATAACATGTGTCAATTATAGTAGTATAAGTATTTGTTATATGTCGAGAAAAATAAATTGTTTCACATATTCGATAAAATATAAAATAATTTATTTAAATGTTAATTAATTTAAAAAAATGTTACGTACATAGTATTTTATTTGTTATCGTAAGTATACTTACACAGCGTTATGAAGAATAAAGAAGCAGTAAATTCAAGAGCAAAGTTGTTTTTTAATAAACGCTTTAATAAAACAGCTTTTTAAAGAGTATATAGACTAGGACTAGAACAAATACAGACGCACGCGTAGCGCGCACCATTTATTTAATTATATATACATATATTAAACTTTTTTTAGATCCACCATTTGTATTTTAACTCGAAAGCGGTTTATTGTTAAAAAAAAACCGCAAGAGGAAGTCTTTATAGAGTTTTAGTTCCTGATTAAAAAAATTGTTAAACAAAAAAAACCCAGTGGCGTACTATTTTCTCATTTTCTTCATTAAAAAACTTAATATGATTACCCATTCGCACGCCCCTGATGGATCTAAAAATGTTTCATCGGTTCACTGGAAAATGGTTTTTAATACAACATGTACGCGTACCAATATTGAATAGAATATCTCTAAATGTTTTCTAGATTTTCGAAATTTTCATATTTTTTTCACAATTTTGACACTGTATTTTAAAAACGAAGCAGTTTAGGGGATGTGTTTATAGGACCTTTTCTTCCTAAAATAAGCCACGGAAAGTAAATAATTGAAACAATAGTAAATAAGTAGGAAAAATAAAAAATTAAAAGAAGTGAAGATTAAAATTGATAGTTGATTATAGGTCCGTTAATAGTATAATAATAAATGATATCAGTTATAGGTATGGCGCCGCGATAATAATCGGGAACCTGTTCGTTTGCCAAATCAGCGATTCGCGGATATGAGCTTTATCGTTATCGTGCCGCTGATAAGAAGAAAACAGACGCGCGTTACAGTTTTATTCGCATTATCGATTGCTCGTGCTGTATTTGGGATTCCGATGTAGCACCTGTGGCACACGCGCCTAACAATTCGCTTGAAGAAATACGTAACGCGTTGCGATATGTCTCATAATTAACGTAGTATAGTCTCGATCAACGCTTGTAAGAAAAGTCGAATGAGCGATCGATATAGATAAAGCGCAAATCTAAAAAAAAGATATCCGAAAAGAGATGTTCGTTTTTAATCACGATATAGTGTGTGTACATACTGTACATACATATGTACACAATAAATTTATTGCGAAAAATATTATCTCAGCCAGGGTTCGAACCTGGAACCTCCCTTATTCCGTTTCGACCACTGAGACATGTGGTAATATTTATCGCAATAACCTGTACTTATTAGAACAATAATAATAGAAGATAGAAACACCGAAAGTAACTTTCATTCGGTTGGGATATTATTACTAGGCCAGGTGTATCAAATTCAATGCAATTGTAGTTCGCCAGTACGAATTAAATAATAAAACTAAGACTCAAAACAGGACCGACGATCGCACTGTTCACGGATGGCGTCCTAGGGTCCTTACGGACGTTGACCCTTCCTGAGCTATTAAAAGTGCGATCGGCTTGCGCACCGCGCCTCAAAACGTGTACCTGCAAGCGACATTTGTAAGTATCTGGTTGCGTCCTTCCTTATCCCTACCCCTCTGGTTAGCCTTCCTTCGCTTCCCAGTTTTTCTTATCCTAATCCTGATGGGATAGACGTAACAATAGTAAAGGATGGAATACAGCAAAATACAAGTGCATAGCTCTTATATTCTTTGTTTAGCTTGATATCTCGTATATCCCTTCTGTTTAGGATATACGGCATTTTAGCATGCGGGATTTATGCCATAGCACAGACGCTTTGTAAAAATCGAAATTTCCTATTATGTGTTCTTTTTCTTTCTTTTCCTTGGATTGTATACCAATAACCTTTCATGCATCTATCGTTCTTTTATTTTCTTTTTAAAATTTTTCAGTTTTCTAATTTGTTTATTATTCTTACATCTTAATAAACTTCTTACACACATTTTATAACTTATTATGACATTTTATTGCCTTATTTATAAACATTATTTGTAATTTTTTAGGAGTATATTTCACCCATGAATGTCATATATCCCACATTCCACCCCTCTGGGATATGGCAAAAATGCAAAGGTTTCTAAAAGTCTTTTTTTATTAAATACAAAGAATAAATATGTCATATTTCTATTTTGTTTATAGTAGTAGACAGTATAAAATTTTTATTGGTATAATTCATTTATTACGATGAACTTAACGTAACGGGACGCGACGGGACGCGAAGTAACGTGACGTGAACTAATGAACTTATGCCGGGATTACGATGAATTTAACGTAACGGGACGCGACGGACGCGAAGTAACGTAACGTGAACTTAAGAAATTACGAT